GATAAGAGAAAAACAAATAGAAGTTTATTAACTTGAATATCGCACATACACATGGGAGCACTCAGAGATGAATAACTCAAAGAGATGATTAGAACTGGTGCTTATATAGCATCAGAACAAAAGGACAATACATTTTTAAAGAAGTGACAAGACAAAGGAAAAGGACTTTGAGCTTCTAGGGGTGGCAAATTGTGGGAACACAAAAAATGGGGACACTAATAGTAGGTAAGGGCTAGTTTTAGTAAGGTTATTTAGAGTCCTCTGGTCTGATAAGGTCTGGTATTATTAACCAAACATGTCTTCTGTGATTAACTTCTGTCCTTTCTGGTTGAGAGGAGAGGGAAGACACTTTTACAAATTTATGTCCTGCTTTTAGGATAATAGGAGGAAGTCAGGGAGTTGTTCTTGTATCTGCTTCTCAATTGTCTTCCACTCAAAATAATCCTTATGCCGAACTGGCATATTCTACTACTCTTCATGTGTAAGGGACCTGTCACAGACCTTGGTATACAGGAAGAGCTCAGTAAGTAGTGGTGGTTGTTTCTGTTATTATCATAGAAAAATTAGTATCACTAATTTGCTCTCATGGTTGACAAACCCCATTAATCTCATTTATTACAACTCGTGGGGTTTCTTCTAATCTTGGATTTAAACAGGCTCTGCAAATTTATGGTTATAATCTTAATAACATCTGATCTGATGAACCGAGGCCAGAAAGGCTGTTGAGAAAAGGACCACAAATACTATGATAAATAGCATGCCACCAAGTGCAGGGTAAACGGGTCTTTCCAGTTGGTTTTGTTGACAAGGTGCTTCGTTTTTCCTTCCATTTATTTTATCCCGAAGGTGGAGCAGGTGCTATTTCAGGCTAAACACTTTGTGAACCCATTTACCACCCTTCTCTAAGTCCTGATTGGCCCATAAGTCCTTCTTATACCTTTGCATTCCATTTTCTGCAGGTGTCTCTTACTTGGAAGCTTTGGAATTTATTAGTCTCCCTTATAAAAACCTGGGAACAGAGACAGTGACTGAGCCATCTCAACAGTCTGGTTTCTCATGGAGTAGTCGTCAACTTGTCATCGACTTTTAGGGAGCTGCTTGAAATAGCCACAACTTCCTCTATCTTTACTCCTTTTCCTTAGAAAATATTATAGATTATAGTGTAATTATAATAAAACAGCAGAGTATAAAAATAGTCATTTTTAGCCATTTAAAAGATGCAAGATAGTACAAAAAATATAAAGAAGAAAAAAATCATATATAGTCCTGTGTACAGAAGCAATCACTGTGAAAATGTTGCAGTCTTTCCACTTAGTCTCTTTCTAAGTGTTTCTAAGTCTCTTTCTTAGTGTTTATTATTTTAACATGGCTGGGAGCATTCTATCTGTACCACTTGATCTTGATTTTATTTCTGTTTAACCTTCTAACATAAATATTTCTCTTGGTTAAAATGTTTACATTTTAAATAGCTCCATAATATTTAATTTGTTGTACCATGGTTTACTTAAGTTAATCTCATTTTGGACATTTAAGTGGTTCCCAGTCTTCTGCTTTTATAAATAATACTGCTATTACGTATAAGAATGTATTTATAAATAACAATGCCTTTATAAATAGGAACATCTGCTCCAAATAAATAAATGCATTTTTGCCAGTAATGCAGCTTATTTATTAAGATAGTTTCTTAGGCTTATCATGACAAAGATTATTAGTACATGTTGCCAGACTCTTCCAGAAAGGTTGCGTGAATTATCAGTCTTACCTGGAGTATATGAGAATGTCTCTTTCACTGAACTCTTACCAACAAGAGATATTCACCTTAATATTGTGTTTTTCTTACTGATAGGCAACACATATTATCTTATTTTAATGTACTTTAAAACCTTATTAATGATGTCGTTTCTATACTTGTTAACTGTTTTGTGCATTTCATTTTCAATTATAGGCCTCCTTTTTTTTTTCTGTGAGGTGATAGTGTTTTTATTTTTTTAGGCCTGAATTTTTAAAAACATACAATTAGGCTTTTTACTTTGTGTTAGGTTTGAGTAAAAAGTCTACTTCTTCACCACCAATTTCCTTTAAACTTGTTTTGGATCAATGTTTTATGAGTTTACCTAAACTCTTTTGAAACCTATAGTACTTTTTTATGTGCTTTAAGCTTTTAGAAGTTTCACCTTGTGATAATTTTCAGACTTTGGAGAACAACTCCATAGCCATGTTTAATTACCCTTTCTTTCGGTGTTTTTCCTTCAGCCTTTACATTCTGACCACAGAGCAGACTGAAGAGCACAGGCTTTCAGTTGGTTTTCCTGAGGAATATATCACTCCTAATTCTATCTGCATAGAACAGAAGTACATGAAATACTTCCTGTAATTTGTAGAACTGAATCTCAAAATTAAGGTACATATATGTGGAACATACACAGGTGACTTTTAAATTTATAAGAATATGAGATGAAATTAGAGATTAGGGATTAGTTGGTTTATTTCTCCATCTTTATGCCAAATAGTGTTTTATCCTTGAGCTACGCCTACGTGGTTGTCCGCATGATCATGCTATAGACTACTTTCCGTTGCTTCTACTTCTGTGAGCTCCAGGGAGATGAGGACAGCCTGAGAATTAGACTGGGATTGAAATCTCAGTTTTACAATTCAGTTGCTTAGTAACCCTGGACAAACCACATAGCCTCACTAGGCCTTTGTTTCCTCATGTTCGAAGTGAGGAATGATAGTACTTACCTCTTAGAATAGATGAAAAGATTAAATGGGATTTCATGATCTGCCTCACTAGCTTGGCGTGTAAGTTTGGTCATGCCTTTTATGAATCCCTCCATGCCAATAAATTTGGGATCCCCTATTTAAAATCTCCTTTACAATTTAACCAAGAACCCCAGGTGCTTATTCTTCCAAAGGAGTCCCCTTCACAACCTTAGAGTGAAACTCAGAAAAGCGTGACCAGTCCACTAGTAGGCCCTGGTTTCAGCTGTCGTTTTTGTTGGGACCTTTTAAATTAATCGGTGCCACCTAGTTCAATGGGCCCTTACCCACTGCTACTTTCTCGCACACAACTTGGCTGTGCCCAAGCTTGGCCTCTCAAGGTTACTTCTCTTTAGGTTATATCTACATACTCAGTCATTGTGTCCTGTATTACCTTGTGACAACTGTGCCAGGGTGACTGGATACAGAGGAACTTGTCACTAGTCCAGACATCTCTTTCTTTCACGGCGGGTTATTGGATCTTGGTATCTTTTCTTGAAGGCGGATGTCATTTGGAACCATCCAAATCCATTTGAGAAATTCTGATAACGATGAATTTCAAAAGGGTAGGGCCAAGGTCACCTTACCCTCCAGGATGCTCCTTAAATCTACTATGCAAATTTAACCCCCCATGCAAGTGACTCTTCCAGGAACAGGGAAGGTCTACCAGGGAACTTTTTGACATCCAGACAGAAATGTTTGATACTTCTCTTAATAAATAAGTTTTTTTTTTTAAAGTTGTGCTTCATCAAACATAGCTACATATACATAAAGCACCTAGCATGCCCCTGTCACCTCGTAGGTGCTCAGAAAATTAGCACTTTCATTTCCCCACTTTCATTTCTCCTTAGCTCTACCACACCTCTGCATTATTTAAACTGGAAACATGTAGCTTTC